AGGGGGATAAACCCCCCCGCCGCCGGCCCATGAGGATATTGCCGTGAAAGGCTCAGCGGCTGCAGCAGGAACCGGACTGGCACCCGAGCGGCGGCGGCGGCGGCAGCGGCGGCACGGCTCGGGAGGCGCTCCTCGGGCCAAGGCCATGGCCCCGCGGCTGCAGCTGGAGAAGGCGGCCTGGCGCTGGGCGGAGACGGTGCGGCCCGAGGAGGTGTCGCAGGAGCATATCGAGACTGCCTACCGCATCTGGCTGGAGCCCTGCATCCGCGGCGTGTGCAGGTGAGGCCCGCGCATAGGGCCTCGCGGCCCCCCTCGCGCCGGACTTCGGAAAGCCGGGGCGGGGTGGGGGGAAGGAAGACGGCGGCCCATTGCGTGCATTTGGGAGGCGCGGAGAAGAGCGAGGTGGAGGTTCCCCCCTTTCCGCCGTCTGGGCGACCCGGGAAACAGCCTTCCCGGGCTCTTCGCGGAGGTGATGCTACTGCAAGTCCTTTAAAAAGGGTTCTGGGTTCTCATCCAGAAGATGGCGGTGCAGATGGTTGAAGGTAGGAGCTGAGAGCCTAGCAAAGGTTAATGGTTGGCCCATCTTGGCCACAACTCGGCATTTCGTTTGTAAAAGGGAACTTTTTGGAAGTGAGCTTCATGGCAGTGTGTGTTGTATTAGTGTTGACGCCAGAGGCTTCATCGTCTTAGTATTGTTTTTGGAGAGGGCAGCTTCATAGTAACCTATGATTAGCCTACGTCATTTCTACCCTCCACCCCCAGGAGTCCTCCTACCCTTACTTGTTACTCTAGTATTTCTTCACCTTTCCTTTTCTTTCTTTTTGGTCATTCGGACTCGACGCCACTTTACCGAGTAATAAGTTTGAGCTGTGTAAGTGCTGGCCTTCACCTCTCCTTAGCCCTTGAGCCTTTCCTTAACTCCCTCTGATAGATCGAATCCTTCGAGTCTGTGGCTGTTTTCCCTTTTTCCACATTTTAACGCGGGAACTACAGGTTTTTCCTCCCCTGGCATGTCGTTGAATTGAGTTGGCCAAGCCAGGCATGCTCAGGAGCCTTCTTTCAGCAGGCACTCACTTAAGTAAATACTTCTGGAGTTTTTACATTCCACTGGGGGATCTAGAAGGAATGGAAGTCATGGTCTTTGGCTTTAGAACTTAAAATGTAGTTTGAGAAGTGAAACAAGTTGAGGAGCTTCCATAAAGCAAACGAATACAGTAAATCCAGCCCGTGGGCATCTGGCTCACAAGGAGGGCAGATCTGACTCCAACAGTAAGTACTGGAATGCCAGAAGTCCGTGTATAATAGACTTTGAATAGCTTTACTGAGATATACTTCACATACCGTACGATTCACCGATTTAAAGTGTACAATCCGGTATTTTTTCATGTATTCACAGGGTTGTTCAGCCATTCCCTAATTTGATATTAGAACATTTTTGGCCTCCTTAAAAGAAACACTGTACCCATTAGATTAGCACTGAGTCCTCCCTTGCCTCCCCTCCCCCTCCCCCATCAAGCAACCACTGATCGACTTTCTGTCTCTGCCTGTTTTGGACACTTTATGTAAATAGAATTATACAATATGTAGACTTTTGTGACTTCTTTCACTTAGCATAGTGTTTTCAGGGATCATCTATGTTGTAGCATGTATCACTACTTTATTCCTTATGGTTGAATAATATTCTTTTGTATGTCTGTACCACATTTTGTTTATCCATTCATCAGTTGATGGACATTTTGATATTCCGCGTTTTGGCTATTGGGAATAGTGAATGGTAGCGCTATGAAAATTTGTGTACAAGTTTTTGTTTGAACGCTCGTTTTCAGTTCTTTTGGGTATTTACCTAGGAGTGGGATTGCTGGCTCATAAGGTGATTCTGTTTAACTTATTGAGGAACTGCCAAGCCATTTTTCACAGCAGCTACACCATTTTACATTCCCACCAGCAATGTAGGAGGGTTCGAATTTCTTTTCATGTTCACCAACACTTGCTATTTCTGTTTTTTTTGATTAGGCCATCCTAGTGAATGTGAAGTGGTGTGTGTGTGTGTGTGTGTGTGTGTGTGTGTGTGTGTGTGTGTTTGTTTGTTTTAAAGATGACCGGTAAGGGGATCTTAATCCTTGACTTGGTGTTGTCAGCACCACGCTCACCCAGTGAGCTAACCAGCCATCCCTATATGGGATCCGAACCCGTGGCCTTGGTGTTATCAGCACTGCACTCTCCCGAGTGAACCACGGGCCGGCTCCTTTTTGTGGTTTTGATTTGCATTTTCCTAATGACTAATGAGTTGAGCATCTTTTCATGTGCTTGTTGACCATTTTTCTTTTTACTGCCAAATAATATTCCATTTTATGTATTTATCTACCACTTTTTATTAATCTGTTCATCCGTTGATGGACATTTGGGTTGTTTCTACTTTTTGTCTATTATGAATAATGCTGCTATGAACATTTGTGTGCAAGTTTTTGTGTGGGCATTTGTTTTCATTTCTCTTGAATATATACCTAGGAGTGGAATTGCTAGGTCATATGGTAACTCTGTTTAACATTTTGGGGAGCTGTCAAGTTCCAAAGTGGCTGCACTGTTTTATGTACTGAAAAGCACTGTATGAGAATTCCAATTTCTTCACATCTTTATACTTACTGGTTTTTTTTTTTCTCGTAGCCATCCTAGTGGATGTGAAGTGATGTCTCCTTGTGGCTTTAATTTGCCTTTGCCTGATGACTAGTAATGTTAAGCATCTTTTCATGTGTTTATTGGCCATTTCATATATCTTCTTTGGAGAAATGTTTATTCAAATCCTTCGCCCATTTTCAAGTTGGGTTACTTAGTCTTTTTATTATTTAGTTGCAGGAATTTTTTATATATTCTGGATTCGAGTCATGTATTAGATATATTATTTAGAAATATTTTCTTTCTTTTTTTTTTTTTTTCCAAAAGATGACTGGTTAGGGGATCTTAACCCTTGACTTGGTGTTGTCAGCACCATGCTCACCCAGTGAGCTAACCAGCCATCCCTATATGGGGTCCGAACACATGGCCTTGGTGTTATCAGCACCACACTCCCAAGTGAGCCAAGGGCTGGCCCTGGAAATATTTTCTTTAATTCTGTGGATTGTCTTTTTCACTCACTCCCCCTTCCCCCCTTTCCTTCCTTCCTTCTCTCTGTCTGTCAGTCTTGGCTGGCTGGTACAGGGATCGAACCCTGGACCTTGGTGTTATCAGCACTATGCTCTAACCAATTGAACTAGCCCTCTTTTCATTTTCTTTATGGTATCTTGTGTAATACCAAAGCCCTTAATTTTTTTTTTTTTTTTTTTTTACCTTTTTGTCTTTTTTCGTGACTGGCAACGGATCACAACCCTCAGTGTCGCGCCCGTACCGGACCGGGACCGGCAACGGGATCGCAACCCTCGGTGTTGCTCCCGCTCCTTGCTCAGCCAGTGAGCGGCCGGTCTGTATGTGGGATCCGAACCCTCAGCGGGAGCGCCACCGCGCTCTCAAGCGGCACACTAGCAGTGCGCCACCGGGCCGGCCCCCAAAGCTTTTAATTTTGATGTAGTTCAACTTGCTACTTTTGGTTTTAAAAAACCATGTCTCACTCAAGGTCCAAGCAATTTGAATTTAAATATCAAAAAAGCTCTTTTGCTACTCTCTTTCTCCTTTAGTTTTGCCATTTCTGGCAAAGATGCTCTGCAGTAAGAGATTAAAGAACTGAATTAATAGTATCTTACTTTTTTTTTATACTTTACACAACAATTTGTTATGAGATGCCAGGGCTGAAGGAATGAGATGTTTGACTATATTCAAAGACTAGATGAGTCTTCAGAATGTTATTTACATTTCTGAAACTGCTTAGGACAGTCACAGGATGATGAAAACAATGTGTACTAAGTCCCGTATCCATAGAATTGTGCAAATATTGTGTGTCTTAATTCTTAAGACCAGACTTGTTTGCTAACAGTGAAGATAGTGGTCAAGAAAGTTCCCTGCAGTAAAATTGTTGGGTAAGGGATGTGCATTTTTTCACTTTGATCCATATTGCCAAATAGCCCCTCAGAATGATAGTTCCATTTTACATTCCCACTTGTCAGTGTGTAAGAATGTCCTGTTTCCTCATACCCTCACCAACACAATGTGTTAATCACATTTTTTGATCTGAGAGGCAGTAAATGGTTTCATGTGTTTAATTTGTGTTTCTTTTTTGTGACATTTAACATTTTTTTTTTGTTTGTTTGTTTTGTTTTTGTCTTTTTTCGTGACCGGCAACGGATCGCAACCCTCAGTGTCGCACCCATACCGGACCGGGACCGGCAACGGGATCGCAACCCTCGGTTTGGTCCCGCACCTCGCTCAGCCAGTGAGCGGCCGGTCTGTATGTGGGATCCGAACCCTCGGCGGGAGCGCCACCGCGCTTCCCAAGCAGCGCACTGTAGCAGTGCGCCACCGGGCCGGCCCGACATTTAACATTTTGATAGGAATTTTCAAAGGTTGGACTTACTTATACGCCGAGCTACGTATAGGAGTACAATGTTTATTTTGTTCTCAGAGAAACAGTTTTTTTTTTTTGTCTTTTTTCGTGACCGGCAACGGATCGCAACCCTCAGTGTCGCACCCATACCGGACCGGGACCGGCAACGGGATCGCAACCCTCGGTTTGGTCCCGCACCTCGCTCAGCCAGTGAGCGGCCGGTCTGTATGTGGGATCCGAACCCTCGGCGGGAGCGCCACCGCGCTTCCCAAGCAGCGCACTGTAGCAGTGCGCCACCGGGCCGGCCCGACATTTAACATTTTGATAGGAATTTTCAAAGGTTGGACTTACTTATACGCCGAGCTACGTATAGGAGTACAATGTTTATTTTGTTCTCAGAGAAACAGCACATGACTATTAACAAATTAAAGCAGAAATGTAAAGCATTCTAGAAAGCCTATGTCATGCCAGCTTAAAACAATTCAGTGGTTTTATAGCTCTAGTCTAAAACCCTAATGAGGACTGCTAGGTCTCACTCTGATGCTTTTATACAGCTTTTCCTCATTGATGATGTTCCAATGACACCTTCTTTCTTTCAGTTGGGGTATAATTTTTCTCATCTAGTATTTGTCCTTTTTTTAAAAAGATGACCAGTATTGGTCCTTTTTGCCTTGTTCGCTTTCCCTGACCCTCAGACCAAGTCAGGTCACCTATTTAATTTTTTTTTTTTTTGGTGGCTAGCCAGTACAGGAATCCAAACCCTAGACCTTGGTGTCGTAGCTCCTCGCTCTAATCAATTGAGCAAACT